CATACCAGCCGGCAGCTGGTACCTGGGGCGGAGAGGACCCCTGACCGGCCGGAACGGCGGGCTGTGGGGGGGGGGAGCCCTGTGGCCCTGTCCAGTCCGAAGCGGGTGTGGATGTGGCCGGCGCGGCGTGGCAGCGACCGCTGAGTGACGTCACGATGATGGATGGGCAGATCGCGCCACCCGCTCTTCTGATGGATGAGAATCGGCGCCTCGTAATGCGGTCCATTGGACGCCAAGAGGCGTGAGTTGAGAGTCCAGTCGGCAGATGTCCAGCATGCCGAAGTTTGGCAGACGGATGCCCACTCTGCGAGGGTCTGGCCGACGGATCTTCGGCCCACGAGAGGCCGGCCAAGGGATATCCTGCCCGCGAGGGTCTGGTCTGCAGCAGTTCGGTGGACGGATGTCCAGTCTGCAAGTCTGGTGGACGGATGACCAGTCTGTGAGAGTCTAGAGAGCGGATGTCCAGTCTACGGGAGTTCAGATGATGGATGTTTAGTCTGCAAGAGTCCGCCTTGCAAGAGTCTGATGAATGGGCGTCCACTCTGCAAGAATTCATCTGACGTGTCGCCGGCCAACGAAGGTCCGGCGTGCAAGAGTCCGGTGAACGAATGTCCAGTCTGCAAGTCATGTCTGAGAGAGTCCTGCAGACGGACGCCAAGCCTGTGAGAATCCCAAATGCAGAGACCAGTCGGCGGAAGCCAGACGGTGGAATCCAACTGCTGAGTCCGGCTGACGAGAGCGTGGCCAGCAAAAGTTTGGTAAGAGAAATCCAGCAGCAGGCACAGCCCAGCTTTGATTTGGCTCTAATATGTGAAAGTTCAGTTGGTAGAGACCAGGGCCGTGGGACGTGGGAGTGCAGCTTATCTGAATCAAGCTAATGAAGTCATGAGCTGGTATTGATTGTGGTGCTGGAGTCCAGGGAGACATTCTAGTCGGCGGAGGTCAGTCGAGAATCGCACAAGCAGGCCTGCGGGCGTCAAAAGGCAAAGTGGTTCTGGACGTATTTGATCTACTGATTAAACTGCACCAGGCTGGCTGGCAAGTCAACACAGCTAATATTGGCTTGATGGCGTCATTTACCCTGTACCTTCTGGCATACCAGAGGTCAATTGTTGTTAGAAATCAGAACTCCCAACTTGCTTTGGCGAAAGCCCGTGAGCTCAGTGTACTTCTTGCTTAATCGAGTTAGCTGACAAGTTTGATTGGCATGGGACGAAGCTGCAAATGAAGCACATGGCCACCGACTGAACAGTGTAACGGATGTCTCCTTTGTTTTGTTTTGGGGATGTTTCGACCGAAGATGTGTTGGTGCACGCATCTTAGGGCTGAGACGAGGCATCAGTATCATAAGTGGAATGATTTTTCTGACTATTGCTCCCGTCTGGGATGGTAATATGTACACAACGCTTCTGCCGGATGACTTCTCAACCCCCAGCCGTCTCTAAGTGCTTTAGAGTCCTACGAAGGATTGGACGATGTTGGGCTTTCAGCCATATACGCGCCACAGCCTAAATTCTCTTCTTGAAACCGCTGGGATTCGAACCAGGGTCTTTTGCGAGTCTAGCACTCTACCAACTGAGGTAACCGGGTAGAGCAGTCATGTTTCCCGGAAAGCAATGCAATTTCATATACTTTCTCGTATGAAATTAATCGAGACGAGCAGACGTCCTTTCCGGCTAGCTCAGCTGGTAGAGCGCTGGACTCGCAATCAGAGGACCCTTACTCGTATACCAGCAATTCCAAGGAGGAATTTGGGCTTGCAAATCACCTTTGGTGATGCTGAAAGCTACTTGCACATGCTGCAACGGTTGGACATGGAAACCCTTGCCGACAAGCGTGCGAACTATCCTTAATATTAAGAAAGGGTATCTCCTGTACATATAAATCTACTTCCAAAGAATCGAGTGGAGATCTCCGGCAGAAATACTCGGAGGGCAAGGGCAAAAACACTCGAAACGTTTTGCTGTGGCACGTGACGGATTGACAGATCGACGGACGAATAGTTCGTGAGATCTTGCAATAGTGAAATATTCACTACACGGGTCTATGCATACCTACAGGGAATCTTTATTGAATGTGTTTCACACATGAGCTGTATGTGTAAGTGCTCGAAACCGTGCCTTTCTTAATATACCGTGCTCTCGCATGGGGAATTTTCTCCCATTTTCTTCATTCCCACGAATGATATTGAAAAGAATGCCCTTTAGCACGGCCGCACGGGTGACCTAACACGTAATGCCGCCGTAGCTATACATTATAACCTACATCACAAAGATCGTCATAGAGATAATAAATTTAAATTTCCATTGCATGTCATCAAGCAATAGGGGCCAAGCACAGCTTGCTCCTTTTTAGACACATTCCTGCTCATCCAAGTGCTTATGCTGTCTGTGGCGCAGGCGACACAACGTGACCTGTTGGGGCGCGCACCACGCAGGCCCAGTTTAAACAGAGCCGGTGGGTCGATGAGAGGCCACTGGCTTACAGGTGGTCACCGGCTGCGGGGCTATCGCTTTCGGCTTACGCGGGAGGCGTTTGACTGATGATGACATCGGGAACAGATGGCATTGTGCAGCGCCTCGTGGCTGAGTACCAGAGGCGGAGTCGGTCGGCCCCAATCGGATGGCGGGGCTGGAGGTTACCAGAGGCATAGAGTCGGTCGGCCTCCATCGGATGACGGGGCTGGAGGTTACCAGAGGCATAGTCGGTCGGCCTCCATCGGATGGCGGGGGCTGGATGTTACCAGAGGGCAGAGTCGGTCGGCCTCCATCGGATGGGCGGGCTGGAGGTTACAGAGGCAGAGTCGGTCGGCCCCCATCGGATGGCGGGGCTGGAGGTTACCAGAGGCATAGTCGCGTCGGCCCCCATCGGATGGCGGGGCTGGTAGGGTTACCAGAGGCGGAGTCGGCTGACTCCATGGGATGGCGGGGCTGGAGGGTACCAGAGGCATAGTCGGTCGGCCCCCATCCGGATGGCGGGGCTGGAGGTTACCAGAGGCATAGTCGGTCGGCCTCATCGGATGGCGGGGCTGGAGGTTTACCAGAGCAGGAGTCGGTCGGCCTCCATCGGATGACGGGGCTGGAGGGTTACCAGAGGCATGTCGGTCGGCCTCCATCGGATGGCGGGGCTGGAGGTTACCAGAGGCAGAGTCGGTCGGCCCCCATCGGATGGCAGGCTGGAGGCTACCAAAGGCAGAGTCGGTCCGCCCCCATCGGATGGTGGGGCTGGAGGTTACCAGAGGCAGAGTCGGTCGGCCTCCATCGGATGGCGGGGCTGGAGGTTACCAGAGGCGGAGTCGGTCGGCCTCCATCGGATGGCGGGGCTGGAGGGTACCAGAGGCAGGGTCGGTCGGCCTCCATCAACTACAGATTTGAGTGTTTGCAATGTCGGGTCCAACGAGTGATGACATTGCGTCGGCGAACCACTTACCCGGTTGATGATATCTGGTGAAATGTGCGACGAAACTTGTGTGCTGGATGATGGCGGGCTTGGGTACAGAAAGCAAAAACGAAAACGTTTCCCGAGCGTCTGCATTCTGTTTATACCGTGGTCTTATTTGGAAGGCGATCGTTACACGAAAAGTTCCACTCACATAAGCAGCGATTCAAAACACAATGACGTTTCTGTAGCCGTTGTCGCTGGACCTGCCGCACCAAACAGCAACGCATGTCTCGGTGCATGCACTCGCCTATTGAAAACGAACGCTCACCTACGAGGCCCCATCATCGCCGCTAGACGACAGACGGCCGATTCGGGCCCTGGCGGGGCGCGGTGACAGGCACACGCCGACGGCCGATCGGCGGCCGGCCCGGCTGTCCCACGCTCAGCTGCAGTCAGGGGATCGGCACCACGAGGCGGAACGGCACACGTGCCGCGCGAGCTGCCGGAACCGCCAAACTAAAACTGTTAGTTTTAGTTTGGTGCGCGGGGGCGGGCGTCAACTGCGGCGCCCAGGCTGATCCGATTGCAGTGCGCCTGCGGTTACTGTCAGCGGAGTAACGAAGCAGTGTGTGCAGCCCCTTGTGCTGACTGATGTCCGGAGGCGATGGGGTTTGATTTTACAGTGGTGTTGTGTGATCATTTATTTTAGCTATTGTAATTTAGCTGATTATGACCTGAGTGTCTGTACCTCCCTGAAGGGCACACAATGAATAGCGCACGGGGAAATAGAGGACAGAGAGATAATACAATGGCATGAGAGGGGATGGAAGAGAAGACTTTGCACAGTGCACATGCCGGACCGACATTTTCAGTAAGTTAGGAAGCAGTATATAGTGAAAATGAAGTTGAATATAACAAGGATGCGACCAGGCAGAAGGCATCTTTAAAAAATAGGGTGTAACTTTTATCCTCTTTGTGATTCCATTGTTCTGGTCTGCAAGACGCGTACGTGGGTTCAGGTAAGGGGAAGGCAGGAGCATGCTTCCAGTTTTGCCAAATGAGATTCCTAAAAAAAAAGATTTGATGGATTTGATCGCAGGAGACACGTGTTGTGCACCCTCTCGGCTCAAAACTCCATTTTAGGTCAGATAATTCCCCACATTCTGATTGCCCCCCCCCCCCCATCCCCCTTGAGTCCTTGGGGTTTGCCTGCACCCATGGGTGCAAAATCCATCCCGACAGCTCAAATGGTTAGAACGTCTGCCTTCCGCTTCATTCACCCTTGGCGGGGTGGGATCGGGTCGCCTTAGACCCTCAACATGCATTGCTGACAGGGATAGCCTGCGGCCGACGGCAGACGCTACGCTTAAGGACAAATGACGTTAGAGGGCAAAAAGATCGTGCTAAGCACTGCAGCACGTGAAGCCTTCATCGCAAACTTTTACTTTCAACCCGAAATTCCTTAATTGAATGGTGGGGTCCAGGCTCCCGCAACGAGCACCCCTCAGCAAGAGGGTGGTGCTGATCCCAGAGATCCCAGTTCCAGGGTGAAGTGGCGACCGGAACGAAATCCATGTATCATGCTGCGTACCTGACATCCACTGTCCTTTTGTTCGCAGATCATATGAAGGGGCTTCGAATATACAAGCTTATTTCGCCAGCCAGCAGCCTTCGAATGCAGTCCGATGGGTTCATCCGATATTCTGTGCTGTACGTATCCAATTCGCATTGTATTGTGCGCAGATCGTATCAAGGGGCTTCGAATATACAAGCTTGTTTCGCAAGCCTGCAGCCTTCGAATGCAGTTAGATGGGCTCATCCGATATTCTATGCTGTACGTATCTAATTAGCACAGAACTCTTAATGAAAACACGGCGAGGGGAAATGTTTAGGAGTTGGAATTTCGGTTGTCAGTTGTCTTCAGATAATCAGGACAATCTCCACTGCTTGCCATGTTAGTTTGATCACAAAAGCGAGCTGGTGAGGCAACATAGCTTTTCGCCACATATAATCAACTCAAAATGGACAGAATACTGACTACGGGAATTTGGGCGAAGTGCTTTAAAGCCACAGAAGGAGGAACATCTCAGGAAGTGGCGTTTCCGAGACCAGTTCTGGGCTTGATTCTTTCCATGCGTCGCCATGGAGAATGCTCAGCATTCTCGAAAAATGGGGGTAACATGGCGCCCAACGGACCCCCATCTCGTCCCTGCTCCTATGCTCAAGGCGCTCAACCTTCAACATCTGTTCAGCAGAATCCATGAAATCACATACAAAATATAACGGTTTTAGTGTTTGAAAATTGGCGGCTGTTTTCCGGTGATACGACATGGCTACTGCAATGCAGTCTTCACTAAAGCCGACCTCCGATCCTGGTGTTTGGCGTGCTGTTGCCTGCAAGGTAGTGCAACTCAGGCTACATGTGAGCTATTCAATGGTCTCAGCGCCATCGACACTGAGCTGTGTTGGCGCCTGTTGCAGCCTCACAGTGACGATAGTCTGCAAGATGAGCTTCCGTGACTACCCGTTCGACTCTCAGCACTGTGTCGTCCACCTGGAGGACTGTGAGTACCGCCCCCGCTCGACGGAGTGACACTGTGGGGCGGCGCAGCAGCCACGCGGGCGGCGCGACAGCGTGGAGGATGTTTGGATGGACAGGACGGATGGAGAATGAGGAGGATGGGCAGCCGCTCAGAGGATGTTTGAACGCTTGCCTGCATGCGTCAGCCCCACGTAGGAATAAAAGATCGCGTAAGAAACCAGTCCACTCTGCTGTGAGCCCCTCAAATAATGTTAGTTGTATTCTACTAAAGCCTACATCCGATCTCGTCACTGTCCGACGCAGCAAGGTCGTTGTTGACGCGTTGCTAGCAAGAGGGTTGCAAAACGCGACCAAAATTTAAAACACTTCAAGCTACGCTTAATGGAGCCCGCATCATTTGCACTTCTAACACATTAGACGATGCATTCGGTAAATACCGGTACATTTTGATACGAAGTTGGTTTCTAGAGTGATAGCATTCACACCTGATCAAAAATAGCAAATGTCATGAAACGTAATGAGAAGTGGCCGAAAAATCTGCTGCTGAGAGCTGAAGAAACCTTCATAAAGATGACGACGGAAAGTGACGACAGTGCAGGTTTTCCTGTGACAGGGGTTCATCCTCGTTGCATTGCACCTCTTGAAAGTTTGTCTTATTTTGTCCTGAATCCTGCACGTCCTCAGGTTTGAATAAGGTTCACGTGAATAAGGTATGAAATGTTACACCTAGGTACAGCCAAATTATTCGTTCTTAAAAAGCGTGCACTTAGACTAGTCACATACCCAGGCATAATGCATGATGTTCGATGTGGTAATGCTCCTGTTGGACTATGGTATTAACCATTTCGAATGTTGCAAGCTCCTGGCAGAGAGAGAGAGAGAGAGAGGGAGAGAGAAAGAAAGGGAGTGAGAGAGAGAGAAAGAGAGCGAGAGAGGAAGAGACAGAAAAGGAACAAAGAGAGAGGCAAGCAAGAATATGTATATATATATATATATATATATATATATATATATATATATATATATATATATATACATGACCTACACAGTGACGTAAATGTTCTTTATTATGCATGTTTTATGGTATGTGGGTCTTTGAGGTCATGCTGAGTCAAAAAGATGAATATAGCTTCGGTTTTATTGCAAAATTAGACGCAATAGTTATGTGTCGAATTGTATAGGCAGTCATAAATCTATGCCCGTATTGTGTGATATCTAATACGCGTAATCAGCAAATTAGTCATGAAATTGGCGCGTTCAGGATAACCTTTAGACTGAAATGACGCGTTAAAAATTTTCATACTTCTTCGCTGATTGTGGTCCAAAATAATCAGGAAGCATTCAGCAGGCTCTACAGCTAAGAAGTGCTATCAGCGTTTAATTGCCTGATGTGCCTTTATCGTGGGCTAGGTTAGCCTTATGCTGAAGGTGACTTGTGGCCTTGAATTATAAACTGAAATTTACCTGTATGATGACGCGTCGACATGTGACACTTTCAGGCGCGAAAGAATCCACGAACCAATTTTGTTCCAAGAGATCAATGCGTGGTGTCAATGCGACTTGGCGGTTTAGAATGTAGAATGAATTGAACCATTTTGCCTTCATAGTATAAAGTATATTTTGTGCCCTGAGTCACGTGCAAAACCCGCAAGATCAGTTATCGTTCCCATATCGCTGGCCTTGCGTCAAAGGGCCAGCTAATCATTTTGTCTCTCAAGTTGGCTTACAGCTTCACGTTTGACCTGATGTGACCGAATGTTTCGCTACATAATGTATCACGGGACAATTAATGTGCGCAATCGTTTTCGATTCAAATTACATCTCTGATGTTGAAGATGAGTGATAGATGCAGGATGAATTCTGATTAAAAATATTGATTTTATAATATGAAAATGTGCACTGAAACAAGTGGTGAAAATACAATGTTGACTGAAGCACCGTCAAACGACATGTTAACTTGTTTTTACGGTTTGCAAAGCAAATTACTAATACAAAAAACTAACAGAATGATTGTTGGCTCTTATCATATTGTCGAGCGGCCGGAAAGTTAAAGGAGCGCCCTGAAACTGAAAAAGTCCCCCATTTGTGTTTTCGTCATGACAGGCCAGGTCACGGAATTTCGATTACAGTCTTAAGCTGCCGGTTTGGTCGTTGTCCTCGCTTAAGATGAAATTTTCACGGCTACATTAAGAGGATCAGAAATTTGAGAACATTGAGAGATTGATAAATATTGTAAATAGTTTGCTCAAAGTCTGTGGTATGCTACTAATAACAATGTGATCGCTTGAACTATCACTTGAGTGTCCCACCTGCCTTTTGCGCTTGGTTGAGTGCTCTCATCGCCAACAAGTTGACCAAACGTTACATCCACAGCGGCTACCGTGAAACCGACTCGACGGCAAGACGGCCCAACAGCCGGATGTAGTCATGAACGCTAGCGTGCGCTGGGACTGTTTGACCCCACCGGCAACACTGGGTCAACACGAACAGGACTTCCGGTCTGAGTCCACACAGCTGGCGAGCCCTATATGACGTTTTTATTCACGATAGAAAAGGCCATCGCAATATCAGCGCGGCAGAAACATTACGCATCACCGAGTTTGATGAGTATCGCCGGCTCTCCAAGTCGGATGATAGCACTAAAAGGCCTTTGACAATGGACAGGCTGAAAACGTAACGATCGAGGGCCACTGTATGGGGCTCTAAAAATAAAATAATGAAAATGATATTCGGCTGCAGTGCACGAGGCAGGAGGTAAGCAAAGGCAGTTCGAAAGAAACTTCCTTCAATGCTTAACCCTCATGCGATAGGGGAGGGGTTAACATTACCTCTAAGGTTTTTTATGATACCTCTCCGCCATGTCGTGAAGTTGCGCCGAAATTTTCAGCAACCTATAAATAATCTGTTGAGCGTTTATTTACATCAAAAGCCCGTCTCTAACATTTCTGGTTTCGGAAGGGTGAGGTTTAAGGAACACCGCGTTGCGAGCTACGGCCTGCGCGCGCGTCGGGCGGTGACGGGCGATTCCTCGGCCTGCGCGCACGCAGGGCTGACACTGTTGCAATCACGGAACTATACACCATAAATATGCCCCCCCCCCCAAAAAAAAAAATGCATGGAACTACATATCATTGTACTCCGAATTGAACAAGGTACACGTCCATACAGACTTGGGCGCTACCATGCATTATCTCGCACCTATGAGCGTGTTAAGCTGAAAAGATTGATTTTCAAGAACATTCGGCCTTTTGACTTAACATAATCGGGTTAATTATGACATGGCAACATTCAGCTTGCTACCGATCACGAGATGCCGCTGAGACTAAACCACTCGCGTGCTTTTCTAGGCCTTATCTTTCTAAGTTTGAAAACGGCTGGGGTCACATTGACGCCGCCTATCACTCAGCCTTAGAAAAACGGCGAATCAGGGCGAGCGCCAAAACATTCTACGTAAAGGGGTGCAGCGGTGAGAAAACTGTGCCTGGTTCGCTGTGTTTTTATAACTGATCCCATTTTTTTCATGGACAGATTGATGGGTTCAGAGCTCACGCTATCAATGCTTGTTGCGTGGGTCCGGACCCTTACCACCGATCGCGCAATTCCATGTCAACGGCAAAAATCTGTGGCGGAAGTTTAACGTGCTGCAATGTTTCGCGCGGTCCGTCCTGCCCGTTGGCGTCATCTTACCTCAAGCGCGGTCGCTGGCCACCAGTCGCAGCTCATACCTGCCAACGGCAAAAAGCGAGCGCTTAAAGCGGCTCGAACTCACCCCGCCACGGGGGAAGGATCAGAAGGCAGGCGCTCGAACGAACTGAGTCATCGGGAAGGACTATGGTAACGAACTATGGTGCGTGGTTATGGACACATGGTTATCAGAAAATATAGGCAAGCTCTCGCCTGTGATTCTTATACTTTTACAGCAGTTTACAGAAGAAGAAAATGTTCTAGCTTATGCACGGTTTGACCCGACATATCAGGCTACAGTTTATGATTGGTTTGCACAACTATTGTTACAAAAATACATGAGCATTTTCAGTTAAAGAGCTTGAAGTGCAAATCGGTATGGACGCCGACTGACCTAACGAATCGCCGACAGCGCACATGCAAATTCAAATCTGAGAAGAGGGAACGTTTTTTAGATATAAATAGAGTTAGTCGCCTTTTGGAATGATATGTGAAGACCACTGAGAAAGAAAGCGTAAGCTAGAGCGATAGACTTGTGATGGGAGTAATGCCACTGCAGTACCGTCAAGGCATAATGAGGACATAATTTAAATTGCTTTCTAGCCCAAATTACGCTGGTGACGCTTTGTAACAACACTACACTTCTTCCCTGCTGTCGAGACTGCCGTCGTCATGGCAACCTCCGTGCGCACCTCTACAGGTGCGAAGGAAAACAAAGTTTACGTTTACGAAAGAAAAGAATGTTTATGATTTACCCAGCGAGCGAGGGCTTGTTACCGAGAAGCGTATTGGTTTAAGTTTGAACCAGTGCATCATATGGGTCGTGGGATAGTCGCATTCTCAAAGCCAAAGTGCGTCTCGAAAAGAGCCACGGGGCGAACGCGATATGAGTGCAATCTATGAGAGAAACGATAGCCGTAGCACAACGTTTCGTTGAATTCGTGAGATGATATCCTCATGTTCGCACCTATTTTTGTCTAAATAGTGTTTCAAGCTTTCGTAGCATTTATTACACAAACATTATAACCGCTAGTGTGTTGCATACCTTAAAGAACACACATATTTGAAAAATGAAGGCAATTAAATGTGCTTCTTTGTGGTGAGCAGGTAGTCAAATGAGATTTCTCCCTCTGGGTTGGCTACTTTAAATCAAACTTCTGAGTCATTCAGAAGCATTTCGAGAAAATGGGTATTGTTGTTCAAATCTTACGCGTCTGATGTAAGCATGACTGAAAAGTACCAAAAAGGTGGTATACTCTTTTTAAACTAGGTCAGTTCAGATCCTAGACATTACATCTAAGTTCAGTCTTACAAACCAAAATCAAATGCATCACGTTTTGGGTGACAAAAGTTGCAACGGCCATGACACTATACTGCCTCCCCCCCCCCCACACACCACTCATGTAATAGTTTTATTCTTCAGTACGCTTGGCGTGCAACCAAAGAGAGAGCTTAAAAATTGATTGTCATGCAATGTACACGTGCAGTAGTGTTATCCGCACGTGAAGTAAAATGACGTGCTGGCTCAGCATCGATAATTGGCTTTTCTCTACCCTGAACCTGTTTCCAGCAGATGAAACAAAAAGCCTTTAGCAAGTTGACTCCAGTTTTTTCCACGCCACCATGCATCACTTGGTGAATATGGCGCCAGGCCAAGGCGTTATATAAAATACATAATCATAAGATTAAAAATATTCCCTTTCCGCGACGTAAATACAACCTAGCACGAAATGTGTTGAGGATAAAATCCATTGATTGCAGGCGAATGTTATGCAGTGCACGTGACATGCTCTGTGACATGACACTTCTAGCATGACTTATCCCCAGTTTGCTGCCCTTACCCCTGCACCGAGTGTTCCAGCGGCGGCACTGATCAGCAGCGCATTCCACTACAGGCCGACAGCAAATAAGCCGCTCCCCATGCCCGTGCAGGATACTCGGCGACGAGAGATGATTATGATATCTGATCGACTGAGCATGCAGCACTTCAAAAAACTGATGCTTAGAAAGATGTGAACAGATGTGTGAACGCATAAACTCTTCATTATCAAATGTTTTTGTCGCTGGTATGTTCATGGGTAGCATTGTTAGGATCCGGTGTAACCTAGTTTGCCAAGTAAAAATTGCCATCTCTCCGTTTTGCATTTATCAAACTCAAAGGGCTCATTCCATTATGCCAATTTTGCCGCTCATTTGCTTTCAGTTCAGTCAAATTCAACATATTACAGCTCATGCTGCCATAAAATGATAAACCACATGTGGCTGGGAACATATTTCATATTTTGAGGAGGTGACGTGCTCATCCATCCCACGCCACTGAAACAGTTAGTTCAATTCTTTTAAGAAAATTTTCTTTCAGTTTAATTCGATTCCCGGCGCGATCCATAGTCAGGGAAGTGATCCTTGGAGGCTAGCGCTGTGAGGGCACATCTCATGGTCAGGCAGCTGCTTCTTGACCCCCTTATCCGTCGGGCTGAGTTATGAATGGGCAATGTTTTACGACTCGCGTCAAACACTACATGGCCTGCCAGCGCGAAACAAGATGTATCGCCACTTATGGCTGGGTCCGAGCGCTCGTTTATGAAATTAATCGGAGGATTCTCTGGCACATGGGTCGCCAGCATTCCCTGAAGACGTAAGGCTTTTAAGTGAACGCATAATGAAAAGTGGAATTGTCAGATACAGTATGTTTATACCATGTGATTCTTTGTTCCGCGTCCTGACATATCACTTCAGGTCAGAAATTACGCAAATCTGTCGATAAATTTGATTGATTTACCACAAAGAAAGTGCCAGTGTCATGTTAATGCACGCTATCGAGAGACCTGGGGAGAAAATCAAACACCATCTAGCGGCCTGTCCTGACCACGTTATTTTACAAAAAAGCAGACATTATTTTACTATTCTGTTTTTAACAATAGTTTAACACTCACAAAATGCCCCATCCCTAAATTCCCCATCCGACCTCTGGCTCTGGACCATGCCACGTCCACAGAAACCCCATGTATATATATATATATATATATATATATATATATATATATATATATATATATATAGTTGTCGAAGGGTAGAAGAGCCTGTGTAATATCGTATTACTAGATAGCAGGGGGACAGCAAATCCGCGGGTAGTTTTAGCTGGCGAAATACTCGGTGCCATCAGGTCAATTCGCCAGGAGATAGCGATTTTCGCTGGCGTGTGGCTTCGTTGCCGAAGCTTTTATTTCATGCAGCGATTTGCTGACTTATCCAGCCAACTGTACTATGTTTCCGATTGTTTAAGCACCAATCTTATCTTATCCAGTTCGGCGTCGTGTCAGGCATTCAAGGTGCGTAGGTGGTGTAACATGCGTAATATGCGCTGTAACCCTGGGGCTATTCCGTGCCACTGATGGTTCACCCAGTGCTGTCAGACTCGGACCGGACCGAGGAGGTAGTGTATGACCCCCTCCCGCACTGCCCGTGAAACTTGTGTGTCATGCTCTGTCAGACTCAATTAGACTCGTTGGCGGACCAGCTGTCAGTGCTACTGTCCGCTGTGTGTCGCCAGACTCGTGCCGGACGAGGAGGTAGTGTATGATCCCCCCCCCCCCCCACACGCTGCCCCAGCTGCCAGTGCCACTGTCCGCTGCGTGTCGCCAGACTCGTACCGGACCGAGGAGGTGGTGTACGAATGGGAGACGCCAGGCATTGAGGTCAGCCCCGACCTGACCCACGACCACTACGACATCAAGGTGGAGGTGCTGGACACGCAAAACTACAGCCACCACACGAGTAAGTACGACCAGCCACCTAGCTCGGGGGCAGCGACCTCCACGGTCATTCTCGGCCAGGCCGGTCGACCTTACGACCTGCACACCACCAAGGGACACCTGATTGCCATGATTTATCCCATTGCAGGGTCAGTGTGCTCTATTTCTGTGAGTGTTTCTTTGGTCGATGAATCAGCACTTTGTGGCTGCACAGTGCTCATGCAGGCACATATATGGGAGGTCACCCATTTCAGAGGCTAGTCACAGTGCGTAGTGCGACTTTGCAGAGACCTAATGAGTTCGCAGCTGTTTTGCTGAGTTGTCGACCTTTAAGATGCCAGGAGGTTCTGGCTTAACGACACGACACCACAAACATCGGTTATACTGGGAGCACTCGTCGATTCAAGCTGGTCTAATGATCAAGAACAAAGCAACAAAAGAAAAAAAGGAGCTAAAGGCCTTTCTTTCCGATAGCAAGCTTACGAATACGTCTCGTGTCCAGCTCGCTAGCACCTCGAACATCCACCTCAAACCCCTCCAGCGCAGTATTCCCCATACTACAAATACGGGGTGCGCAACGCCAGCTGAGAACAGAACATCGCAGAGTCAAATGACGCAGGGAAGCGTTATTCCGCATTCCAAAGTATATTACGGTGCCGGCGTTGTCACGTTTGCGGTGCCCGGACAGCTCGAAGCCGCTCTGATTACCACTTTGCCGGATTATTACAGACGTGAATCGAAAGGTCAGCCCTTTGAGACCCGAAGCCTCCGCAGCCGGGCGGCACAGCACTCTCGGCCAGAATCGCCGAACTAGTCCAACTGCACCATCCACAGCGGCTCTCCGTTGATCACGCAGAATCGCTGACAGGGGCTGACGTACGCCGACATTCTTCAGCCAGACGACACCTCCGCCGCGACCCTGCGCGCCCGACGGCGCTGGCGAGGTCGTCGAGTCGGAGTCGTCAATTGGCCGGGCGTCCCCTAACTGGCCCGCGGCAGTCTTGGTCATCACAAGTTTGCCGTTAGCGAAACGGATCGCTGACGAGATGGTCGCGGCGAGAGGTGTGAGGCGACGAAATCGGCTCCACACTGCCCCGTCCAAGGCTGGCGTCCGAAGAGAGACGAGGCGCTCGAAATCTCACCCGGATCTCTGCACGTGCGCTGCTTCTTGCCGACACCTGGTTGTAGGCTGAAGCGGTAGGCACGCCATTACAAGCTCCAGCCAACAATAGATCTGTGACGGCAGTCCTGTTGGCCTCAAGTGTTGGCGTGCACCGGCGGCGCCATTCAGTCCACCGATTTTCACCAGCAATCTGCTACTCCTGACTTATGGATGCTAATTACTCCATATATTTATGGTGGCTGCTTGCAACTGCATTACTTCCTATGAACGAACTTTCGTTGATGAAGGCTTAGGACCAAGAACATTTTTATTGGCAAAATGTCATAGGTCATGCCATGACATGGTCATGTACATACAAGTTCTTGATTAAACGCGTCATACACTATCCAAAATTATAAAAACTCACGGAACACGAAGCAGTACACGTCGGAAATACAACAAGGCGGACAAAAGAAGTCTTAACCTTGATACATGAAGGAAGACCATTCGTCACATTATGAAAAAAACGCTATAAATTTTATCATTTACATCCAGAAACCACTAGCGAAATCAATCTCCACTAATCTTGTTACTTCTCCATGTAGTTCTGGCGATGAAGCGAAAGCAGTCTATTAAATTCAAACTGGTGAGAAAATATTCTCAGAACTTCACAATCACCTCGCTCGCTGCGCGCTGCATAAATCGTCGTTCTGACATGGCTACGTCCAACTGTAGCCTTATTGAATTGCATTTGTATTTGCAGAGGCATAAAGCATTCCAGCGAGCACGTGGACATTCCTGCTCAGGGTCATGGTACAAGGCCAACACATGCACTTGCCTGGACATACATATCACAGTCCACGCATACAAGATTGACAGAATAGGGCAGGACAGAACAAGACAAGACTAAGTGGATCATAAGCCATAACGTCAACCCGACTAGCAGCCAATTGCTGCAGCTTCACAGCCTGGCAACGTGGTAAAAATCGTACAGTTTAGTTTCGTGGAGATCAGTGTGAATTTACGCCATCAGGCCTCGGTCTCACCCACCGCCTCCACCTCTGCCATGCTCTCTTTGCTGTTGATGCGTCGCCCTTTGACCGCGAACCCTCACCTGACCTGCCCGCCCGGTTTGACACACCGCAGGTCCACAGATGCTGGGCTGACCGCCATCCGTCTTTATGCTGATTGGTCGATCCTGAGCGAGGGGAGGGGCAACAGGCAGTAGAACCCAACGTACATGCGCGATAGCATGAACACATGCGGTATCCTTGGCACCAAAGTGGCTGAACTTCGCCACACTGCAGTCCTAACAAACAGAGGCCGGATGTCATCCGCCAACCCGCCGTGCGTGACCGAGGCTCGGTACCCACACCGCGCCCTCCCGGCCTCTGACCGCGGCCTGGGGAGGTGCAGCAACTTGCCCTGCCTGGTCACCCTTTCTCATGTGGCGTTGACACGGACTCGAAGGCTGGAGAATCGCACTTGTCCATCAGTCAGAATTAGGAAGGCAGATGTGCGCGAAGTTGACAGGCTGTGATCCGCCGGCCTGCTGCAGTCACCCGCTGGAGCGTCTGCAGCAGGTCGGATACGTGGTCAAACTTGCGGCGGTCCAGGATGACCCCTGCACCGCACTAAGAACAATCTTAATGCTGCCCAGTCTTTTTGAACGAATATCCTGGACAGAGAGGTAACAAGGTCACAGCGGCGGCCTCAGCTGTGACACATGTACGTTTCATGACATGACCCGGTCGGGGGAGCCCAGGCTCCTTACCCCTCGCGTGTTTCCAGCGTGACACCCCGAAGATTGAGAAAAAGACGACAGACTGAAGGATGAGCCTGAGCTAAACTCGCAGGCTTACATAATTTTCTGAATCTTCAGTATCAGAATCGAGTCGCAACAGAACCCCTCGAGCTCTACTTTCTCCTATAACGTTCGAAATGCACGCTCGCCTGTCGCATAGAAAGGGTGCATACGCCGCCCGTTTGCAGGCCGAGCACGCTACATTGTCAGCCACGGGTTCGAGTCTGACCCTGCTGCATCTGTGAAATGAACCATTTCACTTGAGTGCGAGTCTTAGATGTTAATGAGTTCGGAATCAAGTCAGAACCCGACCAGACTCGGATCCTTGCCTAGCTCTAGAATCACCAGCTTCTGCTGGATGGGTCTCACTGGTGAATGACGGTTTGTTTCAGCTTGTTTCTCGCAAAAAGTATGCGATGCCTTCTCGTCGACAGACATGTGTGACTGCACCTGTCACAGTTCTGTAGCACTTTTTCGGTCCGTGGACATACAGCAAGTGTCTTAGCACGGCAGAATGCGGATGGGTACAACAGAGATACACTCGACTCATACGGAACGCATCGCCATGAACAAGCAACTGCCGTCTGGCGCACGACGACTGATTGCTACCAGTGGCTGTCTGACCGCGTGTCCCCCGCTAACATGAACCGGCATCCCGTACGCTTCCCGGAAGTGGATAGAAAACAAGTTACCAATTCCAGACATTCGTCACACGCAGCAACCTTAAGCCGGATTATAACGTTCGTTCATCACGAATCGTGTCTGGCTGTTTTGAGACCGCTCATTTGCAGAACACATATATCATACCAGACAAATGTAGGAGGGGATGGACGCGACTGAGCCTATGTGGAAACGAATTTGAAATGGCGGGTTCTTCAAGGGCAAGTGACAGTGGGTGCTCTACATAATTTAATTCAGGGATAATTACACTAAGCTAAGAGCGGTTGCATTGACAATATAGCGGAGGAGGCGGGCATACCATGCACCATGTTCTTTTGCATTTGGTTGCTTCGTCTGGATGAGTGGGTGATACCATGTTCTTCGCTATTGAGAAAAAATTTTGCAAGTCATTAAAATTGCTCCCATTTATTGGCGGGAAGCCTCTCATCACATGTGTCCTACGTAGGCAAAAATGGCACATGCAATAGGGAACAAGAAGCTCAGGGATCTTATGTCACGTGGCCTGTTCCTCGTCACGTTCCGGCCGGTTACATGCATTGGTCAGTTCAATTTATGCACTTCATGAAAATTCATTGTACGGTATCAATATCGAAGAACAGGTGACCATACAGCTCGCAACGATGATCGCAGGGAGCGGACAAACTGATATGAATCTTCTGGATGATCAAGAGTTTAGCTAGAACCGCTCCCAGCGTTTCGGTCACACTGGAAAACGTAAAAGTGGAACAAGGCCAGGGATATCCATTACCATGCCGCGCGAAATATAATTATTAAACTATCAGTCATTTTTGCGAAAACATATGCTTCCAAAAGACATAAAGCCAAGAGGGGAACCAAGTCGTATCGCTCAAAGACGGTAAAAAAACACACGCTATGCCCAAAATGGCCCTGTTTGCGGTTCTTTGCTTTATATATGATGTAAATGATCTCACATTCTCTATCATATAGTAACTTATGGTTTATTTGGCCGATCGGCCTCTTACTATTGGTCAAGTCGGACCTGGCTGAACAGAATTGTCAGATTATTGCCTAGGCAATAGCGCTTGACCGCCGGGTCCCGGAGAATGCTATGGATTTGTCATCCAGAGACACCGGATCCCGCACCGAACCTGGCGGTTAGGTCCAATTGCGGCTCATCATCAAATTAAGCCATGGTAATAACCACGAAAGATAAAAGAAAAGCATTCCGTACATTTTACATAACGCAAACTACAGCACACAACGGAGTGTGTGAGGTGCAAGCATAATAGATATTGCAATTCTTGAAAACGTGAACGTGAATGTTTTCCGAATTCCGTCTGTAATCTGTTAAAACGAAGACATCACGGGAGATTTCAGACCGCCACGAGTGTCGTGGAAGATGTCTTAAGAGGCTTATAGAGAAGCGAAAGTTCTAATGGATCGCGGGCTAAGCGTAAACACAGCGGCGGGCGGTGGGCGTCCAGAATTGAGCCTGTGAAGACGTGTGGCAGTTGCAGTAGTTGCTCGGGAGACTCGAGCTGGGCTTTGCGAAGAAAGGTTTTGAAACAAGGACGATGAGTGCACCTTTCCCGGAAAGGATTATGGAGACTAAGATCTCGACACGGCACTTGGAGATAAGCGAGTGAGATAGGCTTAAGTGGCTGCGATAAGCCACGTGTTTTATTTGAAATATCGATTTCAAAAGATCTGTGACAGATATGGAAACATGCATGAACATGTTTCATAATATAACATATTTATAAGCCTTCGGTTTTTTGTTTTAAGTCAGTGTCCATCTGCTTAGCAAGACGCCCGCACAGCGGCCCCCTGAACAAGAACGTTCTTATCCAAAATGCGTAATTGCCGGCGCCTGCTGATGCCTTACAACATGTTTGGCCACTAGGCGCGTGGAGAGACCTCCATGTCTGGCTCCCAGACCACACTGGCCGTGGGAAAGACACCAGTCCAAATTTCTGATCATTTTCGACAATGCGTTCCATAAATCGCGTACTTGGTCTACCTTTCATATCCTTAGTGCACTCTTACGATTGCCATTTCAAATGCGACGTCCTGCATGTGTGAGCCGTTGGTTGTGCTGGACGTATTGTGCGGGTGTGAGAGCAATTCAGGGTACTGATGTCGAGCCGGCTCTGCTTTTGGTCTAGGAGGAAATGACAACTGCATCAGGGCAGCTTCTCAAATGTTACATGAATTTTGCAGTTTTT